CAAAAATCTAAAACTGATTTGTGGGAATGAGTGGACAACTCTGTGACTGTACTAAAAATTATTGAATTATACACTTTGAATGGGTGAATTTATGGTATGTGAAATATATCTCAATAAAGTTATTTTAAAAAACCTCTCATGGAACTCCACACATCTGGGTAACCACGATAGATGGATCCTCTGATGTGACATAAACTTTGAAAACACAAGTGTTAATGGCAGTATAATATTCCAACAGGTGCATATTGGGTAACCAGCAAAAACCGTAGTCTCTCAAAGTTGTGAGACTGGTTGTCCCTGGAGAAGAAGACTGGGGTTCGGGGCTGGGGGCAGGCAGAAGGCTTACTTTCACTGTATAATTTCACTGTAAAATTGCTTGGATTTTCTTTTGTTTGATTTACTTTTTTTCACAAACTCCAATAAGTATCTCTGTTCTCTGTCCTATATGTGTATCATTCTTCCCTCATTGTTCTCCCACATTCCCATTTTCTTCTGCATTGAAAAAAATTTAATTGTGGTAAAATTCACATAACAAAATTTACCATCTTAACCTCTTTAGGTTCAGTTCATCCGAAACTTTAGTTCAGTTTGAAGCTCAGTGGCGTTACGTACATTCACATTGCTGTGCAACCATCACCACCAGCCATCTCCAGAACTCTTTTTTTTTTTTTTTTTTGAGGAAGATTAGCCCTGAGCTAACTACTGCGAGTCCTCCTCTTTTTTTGCTGAGGAAGACTGGCCCTGAGCTAACATCCGTGCCCATCTTCCTCTGCTTTCTATGTGGGACGCCCACCACAGCAGGGCATGCCAAGTGGTGCCATGTCCGCACCCGGGATCCAAGCCAGCGAACCCCAGGCCGCCGAGAAACAGAACATGCGAACTTAACCGCTGCGCCACCGGGCCGGCCCAGAATTCTTTTCATCTAGCAAAACTGAAACAACTTACACATTAAACAAGAACTCCCCATTTCTCTCGCCCCTCCCACCCTGCAGCCCTGACAACCTCCATCCTCCTTTCCATCTCTAGGAACTCGACTGCACTAGGTACCTCAAATAAGTGAAATCATACAGTATTTGTCTTCTGTGACGGGCTTATTTCACTTAGCAAAATGTCCGCAAAGTTCTTTTGGAGTTGTTTTTGTTTTTTTTTTTGCCATTAGTATTTTATTACTTTTCCACTTAAAAAGAGTAGCTAGTAGTAAAAAGAAAATACCATGTATACTTATAAAGTTAAAGAAAAAAGCAGGAATCAAAACTTTATATAAAATGTCATCACAACTTTGTACAAAAAATATCACACGCATTGGGGGGCTGGCCCGGTGGTGTAGTGGTTAAGTTTGCATGCTCTGCTTTGGCAGCCTGGGGTTCACAGGTTCAGATCCTGGGTGCAGACCTATACCACTCATCAAGCCATGCTGTGGCAGCATCCCATATACAATAAGCAGAGGAAGATTGGCACAGATGTTAGCTCAGTGACCATCTTCCTCAAGCAGAAAGAGGAAGATTGGGAACAGACGTTAGCTCACGAGCCAATCTTCCTCACCAAGAAAAAATAAATCAAACGCATTGGAACCCAGCAGAAAATACTAGATGTTTCTAGCAATGATAGTGATTATTTCTAGATGGGATATAGTTATATTTTATTTTCCATTTTTCTGGGGTTTTTTTCATTCTTCTAGAATGAGCATGTTATATTTATAGTCAGGAAAAGAGCAAATGCTACCTAAAAAATACGTATGCCAACTTAGAGAAAATGCTTCATCCCAGCTTTCTCAGGATACTCTGAGTCTACTCAGTTCCTCTATCCCCATAAATTAAATACACCTGTGGTTGTCAATCCATCTGTCCCAATTTGGAGTTAGGAAAGTAATATTTGTCTTGGCCAACAAGGGCATTCAACAGGTGAATGTGAGATGAAAGAAGAGGAGAGAGATCAACAGGTGTTTCCTACCTGAGTCATCTGTTTGGCTCCCAGCAGGTCTCCTCCTGGGTGATCCTGTCAAGCTTCCCACCTTGGAGTTGTCTCATTAGGGCAAAGTGGGGCTGTCCCAGCGGTACTGGCTCAGGAGAGCCAACTGTATGTACAGGTCAGTAACTTCACAGGCTTAGCTTGGAATTGGCTGTAGTGGAAGTATTTACACCGTGGAAACTGGCAAACACATCAAACCACCCCCCACTGCCACCAGCCAGAGGGGCTGTGGTTGCACGCTTACCCGCACACGGCAGGGCTGCTTCCATCTCTCATGGGGGTGAGTCATCCCCCTCTCTTCAGCCCGGGCTGCCCATTTCTCAGGGAACAGGATGCTCATTTTCCCCATCCCTCTGTGAGCAGCCTTTTGCCTTCTGGGGGTGGATCTGCCAGAAGGTTCTTTGTCACTCAGAAACACCAAACTTCATCCTCCCGATGTCGAGTCCAGAGAGGAGACACTGGGCTTTGGTTAAAAATTGGACACTCATTTGACAACTCTCCATTTTCCATTTTTCATGCTGCCAGCTTCTTCTTGGAACTTCCCCTGATTTCAAGAACTTTCTTGCTGTAGCCTCTGCACCCCAATTCTCCTGGACAGAAGGCAGAGGGGAGCTGGGAGGAGGTGGTGTTTTGGGGAGGTTTAGCAGGCTTTCTTCTCCAGAGAACAAGCCAGGTTGATTTTGTTGTCCCTGTTCCTCGAGGTACCAGCCTGTGAATCCCAAGCCCATCCAAGGGGGCACGGGTAGGATTCTGTCATCGATCTCTTAGTACTTCCTGAAATGAAGGGTTCAGAGCTGGACCTGAGTGGCCAGGCTGCTACCCTTGCTGTTCCCGACTGGCTCGCCCTTTCTGAAGCCCCCAGGAGAATCTCTCTAGGTTGAAGGGAGAAGCAGGTTGTTGCTAAGAAACCTTTCAGCGTGACCTCTAGGGAGGAACCGTGACAAGAGGAGTAGCGGAGCAGAAATAGTAGGTTGCTTGGTGACTTCAGAGACCCAGGCTGCAGGAGCACTGGCTGCAGAGTCAGGTAGGAGCCCCATTCTGTCCTCCCTCCGAGACTGATCATGATGACACCGTCTCAGAGCTGGGTTCAAATCCCAGCTCCCCATTTACTTGCTACGTAAACTGGCCTCTCTGAGCCATCTGCGAATTGGGAATGACAACGCCTACCTCTCGGGGTTGTGCTGAGGATTCAGTGAACTAATGTACATAAAGCACGTAGTTCAGAGCAAGTTTGTTCAATTCATGGGAGGCACAAATGAAACAAAACACAAACAGCCACGTGTAGCAGCCTGAGCACAGAAGTGTCTGAGCCCCACGTTTCATAGATGACGGTGGGATTCAGGAGTCCTGACAGGCTCTGTCATGGTTCCTTTCAAACAAGAGACCCCCAAGCGATGCCTTCAAGACCTCTGTCAAGTCCCCTCTACATGTCAATCATGTCAATTTATCTTCACAACAATCCCATGAAGCATATGTTAGCTATTAGGCACAGATAGTGAAACCAGGGCTCTGAAAAGCCCCTGCCTTGTTGGGGACCCCACGGTGAGCCCCCAACTCACTGGTCACTGTTCCAGGCAGGGCATTTTCTCCTGTTCAGAGTGGCCTGAACCATGACTGGACGTCAGGCAGGGTGATTCCTAACAGCTTCTGTCTCAGGGTCAGCCACAGCCTGTGCCCCAACCAGAGAGGATGGGTGTCCCCTGGGCAAGGGGTCCCAGAGAACCCAGAGCAAGTGGTCAGGCCACTTCCTTCCAGCCCTGCTCAGGGGAATGCCCATGTCTGCTGGCCCGATGTCACCCAAAGCTCCAGACCATAGCAGCCTTTGTATAAGTGACAGGATTGGAACTTGGGGATGACCCAGAGTCAGACAGTCATGAATTCCACCATCGGACTTTGTGACCTAGGCTTCACCTCCCACAGCTGTAGGTTTCTCACCTATAAGACGGGATTGAATGATTTCTTAGGTCCAAGGGTTGTAGGGAGGGCCCGATGAGATTCCCTTTCTAAAGTGGCTTTGGAAAAATGCCCCAGCCATGCAATTGTGAGGTGCTGTTATCAGTGTTGTAAAACGCTGTCCTGCAGGGTTGATCCTCAGGGGAGTGGAGAATTGGCCATAAGAACAGTGTATTTGACTCAGCAAATATATCCTGAGGCCCTGCTCTGTGTGAGGCACCACCAGGGTGACAGAAAATTCCCTACTCTCAGCTGAAAACTTGCCACTTATTGATTTTACGTATATCTTGTTAATTTCAGGTCAGGATGTGAGGTGTTTGTCAGAAAAGCTTGAGGAGCTTTTGCAATATCAAAACCAATAAACTTTCTTTTGTTTATGTAACAAATATATACTGGGTGGTAACAAGGTCCCAGGCACTGGGTATACAGGAAGAGGTCGGCCTAGCAGAGATTTTCCATCACAAGGCAAAACATGAAACACAAAACAAGAGGCAGGGAAAAGAGGAAAACTGTCAGGAGACAGAGGAAGAGTTAAAATCATTGAGCAAAAGAGGCAAAAAAGGAAGATCTGTGCAGCTTCATGGCTCAGTTCATCAGGCGAAACACGCTTTTCTTTTTACTGGTTTCAAGGGGATTTCATCACCGAACAAGTATTTCAATCAGAGGCCTTTGGGCAACAGAAGAAATCATTTTCTTAATAGCAATTTTTGGTTTTGCCCAATATTTTATGATGAGGTGATGGGGACATTTTCAAACAGAGAAAAGTTGAAAGAATGTGAACACACATATATCCACCTCCTAGAGTCTACAATTAATATTTTACCGTGTTAATTGCATTCTTTTTTAAGAGGAAGTTTCTGGTAGAGCTGTTTCATGGATCAGCTCTTCCTGAGGATGTCATAACCGTGTTTTCCCTGGGACAGAAGGATGGGATGGGGGTGTGGCGGACAGCCATGGATTTTAGCCCGGGAATGTGGCTCTGGGAATCAGACTGGATGGGGGTTGGGGTACTAAGCAGGGAAAACAAGCCCCTGAGAACCCAGTTCCGCCGACCCCCGGCCCTCGCTCCGACTGCGCTCTCAGCCGGTTAACTGCAGCGCAGGAGTCTCGCGGCTGGTCTTGGCTGGGAGGTCTCCGGGATCGTCTTTCTCCTGCCCTGGACTTGCCTTCGTTCTGCAAAGGGTGAAAAAGGGCAGCGATGGCGGCCTGGCGTCCGTGCTGAGCGCAGGAAAACAAATGAGGATCCCGAGAGGAGCTAAGCCGGGACGCCGAGGGGACCCCGAAATCTGCAGCTTGGCAGCCTGCCCCTCTGGCTCGCGACGCTCCTCTGGGAGCTGCAGCCGGAGCGCCGGGGAGGGAGCAGCCGGCGGGCCAGGGGTGAGGGGGGTGGAGGGGGTGGGCCGCCTGCGGCAGCTGCGGGGCTCTGCCGGGCCCAGCTGTCCCCGCGACTCCGGGCGGCCGTCCCGGGCGGAGTGGGCTCGGGGAGGGCCCAGCTCCGCGCTCCTCCCCCGGTCGGGCCGGACTCGGCTCGGCGCGCCCGGGAGCGCGCTCTCTGCATAAAGCCCTCCCCCCGGCCAAGGTAGAGGAAGTCGGGCTCCCGCCTGGATGGGAGGAGGGAGGGAGCCCCGCTCCTGTTGTTTTCCGCGAGCCGGAGAGGGTGGCGGTCGCAGGGGGCGGGGTGCGCCCTCCCACCCCGGGCCGTGCGCTCGGAGAGAGGATCGCGCCGGCCGCCCAGCGCAGCTCCCAGCCCCGGACATCGGGCTCACCCCCAGCATCTTCCCCCGGGGCCGCGGAAAGTGGAGCTACTCTGCCGTCCCGAGGACCTGAGAGGAGCACTTCGCACCGGGGGACGCACACCCAGCCCAGCCGGAGCCTTGTTTCCTGAGGGGCCCCTGCGCGCATCTGGGGCGAGATGGCCGCGGGCATCCAGCCCCGGGTCCTCGTCTGCCTTGGGGCGCTGCTGGCCCGCTGGGTCGCCGCAGGTAAGCGGCCGCGATCTGGACGGAAAAGTTGCGTTTTGCCCGGCAGCGGTGGGGAGGGGAGAGCCAAGGACCGAATTCCCTCCGGCTCCGCGGGATCCAGTTGTGCCCGCGGCCCCGAAGCCGCGCCGGCGGGGTCTTGAGTTTCCTGCTCGCAGCTCAGCTGTCTTTGCAGGAGGGAATTTTCCCGGGCGCTTGATGGAGGGCAAGATATCCCATCCCCACGCTCTTGGACTGGGCGGCCGGCCAGGCTGCAAGGACCTGCGGAGAGGTGATGGGAATTCTGAAGATGGGAGAACTGGAGAGGCACGTGTAGGGGGAAAATGGGTTTTTATAAAGCGTCGGATGTAAATTCGCGTTCTGGTTTGACCTGCTGCGCCGGTGCTCGAAGTCGAGGCTCCTTTATTTTTCTCTCCTCCTTCTGCTCAAGGTTGAACTTGCCTTACACCTGCAACCTGTGGGTTCCCCTACACACCCCTGCAAGCCGACTTGTGCAGGCTAGCGCGTTCAAAGCTGTGCCTTCCTCCTTCACTTTTTTTTTTTAAGATTTTATTTTTTTCCTTTTTCTCCCCAAAGCCCCGTGGTATATAGTTGTATGTTCTTAGTTGTGGGTCCTTCTAGTTGTGGCATGTGGGACGCCGCCTCAGCGTGGTCTGATGAGCAGTGCCATGTCCCTGTCCAGGATTCGAACCAACGAAACGCTGGGCCGCCTGCAGCGGAGCGCGTAAACTTAACCACTCGGCCACAGGGCCAGCCCCTTAACTTTTTATTTTGAAATAATTTCAGACCTATAAAAAACGTCTCCTTACACTTGCATGCTCTCTTCCACTTCACATGATTAGCGAAAGGACTTAACTGCTTCATCTATACTCTACCTTGGAATATTAAGACTAGAGAGTTGCTTACAATAATATACAGAATGTAAAAAAATTGAAAAAATATTTTCGATTTTAATTCTCCAGCGAATGCATGTCTACTGTGTGCAGGGCATTGTGACAAGCAGTGAGGGGACTCCAGGGGAGGGAAGGGAGATGGAGCCAGGAGGCAGTGTAGTTACCAGAATACTTGCAGAGTGTTGCTTTCCGTGTTGTCCAGCGCTGGCACCCGGCTGATCTCTTTTGGTGGGTTCCTGGAGGAATAGTGCTCTGAGCTTCCTAGCAGCAAGTGCCAAAAGTTCCTAATTGTTAGGCTCTTGCAAGTTTTTATTGTTTTATTTTCAGCAATCATTTGAAAACAGTAAAATTTCCCATAGTCTAAATTTTCAGTTTGTCTGGAAAAATCTGAAGATCTGGCAGCACAGGGCCTGCTTTCTCCCCTGCAACTGAGCATTGGTCACCCCCTTTTATCCTAAGGCATGTGACCCCAAATTTGTTCTCCCTCTCCCTGTTGCAGTACTTACTCCTGGTCCTCTTCAGTCATGGACCTTACCTGCTGGCCCCTCCAGGCACCTGACAGTGGTCACTGTGCTGAGGGGAGGAGGAGAGGACGCACAGTCTCCGATTAGTGGTCTCCGGAAGCTGGAGGCAATTGTCTGTTCTCTTCTCCCAGCTGTCTGCAGTGTTCACAGCACTGTGAACATCAAGGGCCTCAGGACATCAGAACCCTGGGTTGAAATCATCGTACTGGAATGAACCAGCTTTGACGCTGGCAGCAGCTCACCACCCAGGGCCGCTTCCCCTACTGCCTAGCCCAGTCATTCTGATGCCCAGGCCAGGTTCACCTCTGTGTCCAGTGCCCCAGGGGCTTCCCTAGCTTGGTGTGATTCTGTTGTTTGTTTTTCAAGTTGGGAGTTGTCTTGGGGGGCAAATTGTCTTTCTCTTGTCTCTTAACTCCAGACAACATTCATGCCTCCACTGTCACCTCAGATTGTAAATGCTGGGTTAGTCTTGGGGAGAAGTTGCTAGGAAAAAATTAACGTTTTGGTACAATCCCAACTCTAAATGATAATATGAGGGCAGCATTGGAAAATGGCCATTTATATTGCTACCTCCTTTGGTCCATATTCTGAAATTAAGGTTGGGGGACTCTAGGGGGTCCTCTGGACACGATGTGAATGACTTTTAGTAACACAAACTATTACTACGTTTTAATTTCTCACCCTGTCTGGGTGGGAGACTGAAGTAAATGCCTGTGACCTGCAGTATGGAAAAGCTGAACAGCTATCCCAGCTCTCCCCATGACTTGCATGAGACCTTAAGTAAATCATTCAGGCTTTCTGAACCTCAGTTTTCTCAACTGTAAAATGAAAGGGTATAGGACGATCAGGCACAGAACTAGTACACGTCCAAGACTACCATTTCTATGTCCGTGGTAGACATCACTAAGCTATGACCTATTCTTCTGCACTGAGCCAGGACTCACCTTGTCTCATCTTTAACCCAGCCCACAGGGCTGTCACATCTCAGGACTAAATCCTCTCTAAGATCACCTTCAGCTTCCGTAGTTTAAAAGAATGGAGTGAGCAAAGCCAGGAGGAGAAGAGCCTGGGAAACACTTCTTGCCTTATTGGAACCTGTAGCATTTGATGACATTCTCTGCCTTCCAGCCAGTGACTTAGATTCTTTTCTTCATCTTGTCCTGGCTTTTGGGAATGAAGTGGCCAAGATGGGGAGAGTCGGAAAGTCCTGTGGCTGCAGGCTGGCTTCTGATCTTTTAAATGGAGCCTCTTCTAACCAGGCAAAAGGCCAGATACAAACAACTGTTAAACTCTTTCTTTTATAAAAGGGAAGGATGTCCCGAGGCAGGTTGCAGTTTATTTTTTTATAACAACTTTATTGAGATATAATTTACAGGCCATAAAATTCACCATTTTATTTTTTGGTGAGGAAGATTGGCCCTGAGCTAACATCTGTTGCAATCTTCCTCTTCTTGCTTGAGGGAGATTGTTACTGAGCTAATATCTGTGCCATGAGGGAGATTGTTACTGAGCTAATATCTGTGCCACTCTCCTCTATTTTCTATGTGGGACACCACCACAGCATGGCTTGAGGAGCAGTGTGTAGGGCCGCACCCAGGATCCAAACCTGTGACCTCCAGGTCGCCAAAGTAGAGTGCACGAACTTAACCACTATGCCAACAGGCTGGCCCCAGAATTCACCCTTTTAGTGTGTACAAGTCAGGGTTTTAGTATATTCACAAGATTGTGCAAACATTCCCACTAATTAATTCCAGAATATTTTCATCACCCGAAAAAGAAGCCAAAGAGAGCAGCAGGAAAGAGGGAAAAAGCTGAAGCCCTCTTCCTCCCACCCTTCTGGAGTTCTAGGCGAATAAAAGCACTTGTGTTCTGTATTAGTTATGTATTCCACAATAATGCCATGTAACAATCACACAATGACAATCAGAGCTTCCTGCTCCAGGCCTGGGGTGGTTGGCTAGTTGGCTCTGCTGACCTTGCCTGGGCTCGCTCACATGTCTGGGCATCGACTAAGTGGCTGAAGGCTGACCTGGAATGGCTTCAGCTAGGATGACTGAGACAACTAGGGTCTGCACCATGTAGTTTTCATCCTCCCCCTGGGATCTAACCTGGGCCTGTCCTTCTCAAGGTGATGGCAGAAGGTGAGATTGAGCACGCCCAATTACACAAGTGCTTTTGAAGCCTCTGCTTGCATCACATTTGCTAACATCCCATTGGCTAAAGCAAGCCACATGGCCGAGCCCAGGGGCAGGGTGGGAGGGCACTGCAGAGTGACATGGTGAAGGGCATGGAGAGTCGGGCTGGGGGGCCATGTTGGGGCCATGTTGGGTGTTTGTTATTGTGGTTTACCACAAGTTCAACGTCATCAATACTGGCCAATATTCCCCACAGGGTGGAGGCTCTCCATCTGAAAAGCAGACACCTGTTGTTTTTTTTGTGTGTGTGTGTGCAGTTTTTTTTTTTTTTATTAAGATTATGATAGATTACAACCTTGTGAGATTTCAGTTATACATTATTGTTAGTAATGTTGTGGGTACACCACTTCACCCTTTGTGCCCTCCCCCCACCCTCCCTTTTCCCTGGTAACCACTGATCGGTTCTCCATGTCTATATGTTAACTTCCACCTATAAGTGGGGTCATACAGAGTTCGTCTTTGTCTGGCTTATTTCGCTTAACATAATACCCTCAAGGTCCATCCATGTTGATGCGAATGGAACAATTTAGTCCTTTTTTATGGCTGAGTAGTATTCCATTGTGTATATATACCATATCTTCTTTATCCAGTCGTCAGTTTCTGGGCATTTAGGTTGGTTCCACATCTTGGCTATGTAAATAATGCTGCGATGAACATAGGGGTGCATGGGACTCTTGGGATTGCTGATTTCAGGTTCTTTGGATAGATGCCCAGTAATGGGATGGCTGGGTCATAGGGTATTTCTATTTTTAACTTTTTGAGAAATCTCCATACTGTTTTCCATAGTGGTTGCACTAGTTTGCATTCCCACCAACAGTGTATGAGGGTTCCTTTTTCTCCACAACCTCCCCAACATTTGTCACTTTTGGTTTTGGATATTTTTGCCAATCTGACGGGTGTAAGGTGATATATCAGTGTAGTTTTGATTTGCATTTCCCTGATGATTAATGATGATGAACATCTTTTCATGTTTTTATTGGCCATACTTATATCTTCTTTGGAGAAATGTCTGTTCATGTCCTCTGCCCATTTTTTGATCAGGTTGTTTGTTTTTTTGTTGTTAAGCTGTGTGAGTTCTCTGTATATTATGGTTATTAATCCTTTGTCGGATAAGTAGCTTGTAAATATTTTTTCCCAATTAGTGGGCTGTTTTTTTGGTTCAATCCTGTTTTCCCTTGCTTTGAAGAAACTCTTTAGTCTGATGAAGTCCCATTTGTTTATTCTTTCTATTGTTTCCCTCATCTGAGGAGTTATAGTGTCCAAAAAGATTCTTTTGAAACTGATGTCAAAGAGTGTACTGCCTATATTCTCTTCTAGAAGACTTATTGTTTCAGGCCTAATTTTTAAGTCTTTGATCCATTTTGAGTTTATTTTTGTGAATGGTGAAAAAG